TCAATGGTAAAAACAATCGAAAAGTACAAAATAAAAGGCATATGCGCGAGTTCTTTAGGCGCTCTATATATCTACAGACGTGTTTTGTTCTGCGAACTTAAAGACACTGAAGAAAGAAACCCTTGTATTTGAGATGTGGTTGTGGTGTGGTGCTGTCTGTCTGCGACTGTTGTACGCTGCCCATTCCGGATCATGCTTTGCTCTCATTGCCGTTCATCTGGGGGGCTTCATTAGGGACTGTCTTCACCTCCGCCGGGTTTTTCTTTACCTCCATGTCTGGTGCTTTACTTTTGTCATCAACAACAATTTTACCACTGGGGGAAAGAAAAAAAGAGAATTTTATCAGCAGTGTCTTTCAGTCATCTGTTTGGCTGCTTCCCCTCTTTATACTATTTCCAAGGATCGGCTCACCCAAAAATGACAGTTCTGTCATGAATTGTTCACCCTCATGTTCTTTCAAACCTGTATGAGTTTCTCTCTTTCTTCAGTGGAACACAAAAGATGGATTTTGATGAAACCGAATAATATGCTAAGCATTCTTTTCAATATAATGAAAGTGAATGAAGACTGGTGCTCAATGCTCCACAAATAACAAAGAAACACCATAAAATGATCATAAAAGTGGTTCACACGAGTCATTGTCTAAGTCTTCATATGGTAGCACTGTGTGACAAAAATCTTGACTAGGTTTCTTTGGTACGTTCATGAGGGAGGGTCTTGTCCCAGTTAAAAAATGTATTTGATAAAAAATATGGTAAAACAGCAATTTTGTGAAAAAAATATTACTATTTAAAATACCTGTTTTCAATTTTAATATATTTCAAAATGTAATTTATTCCTGTGATGGCAAAGCTGAATATTCAGCAGCCATTACTCCAGTCTTTTAGTGTCCATGCTGTGAGTATTTAAGACATACTGCTGTTGCACAAATAGCATATAAAATAACCTGTAGTAGATCTATACAAGTGGAGCTGGGGAAGGTGGAGGGTTTCAGAGGAACTCTGAAAGCACACTGTGAAATGGTCTAATGAATTTCTTTCAACAACAAAAAAATCTTTGGAATGATAGATAGTATGTAGTACATGAGTCCTGTGGATTACTTTTATCATGCTATCATCAGGTTTGAAATGACATGAGGAAGAAAATTGAAGAAACCCGAATTCATTTTCGGGTGAACTGTCCCTTTAAGTTTTGAGGGAACAGACTTCAGTCTAGCCAATCATTTTCACAGCTAACAGGATCAGTTTGGTTATCTTATGCTAACATCAAAGATTATTCATGAGCATGAGCATGTATGAAGACAGAGGAACAGTGCATGCAGGTATGATTCATATGAATCATAACACTCAAGTTAAAGCTTGCTGTGAGCAGTAAATCCATGGCATTGGTGCAGAGAGTCTTTCTGCTGCATAGACTCAGCTGCAGACACATTCCTCATAAAACTTCATAAATGTTAACCTCTCCCTCTGCGCTTATTGGCTGTGTAATAGTTTGTTGAAACACAGAGCGCTTGTCTCTTGGGGTCAGGATGGAGCAAAAAGCATTATAATAAATAATAAATCATAAATAAATGAAAATCATCCACCGCAAACTGCCAATTACTGAATATTTTACAAGCACATAGACATTTGTTCTCAAGGGAGCTGACAGAGCACATAGTGGGCCTTGAAAAAAGAAGTTTACTTAAATTATTTTGCAGTAGGCTGATTCTTTCCAAGCGCTGATAATTCATGTAATGGAATTGACTGTACTGGTGTGCCAAATCATTCATAAATGCATAATGAACCACGAAAATGAAAGATGAGTTTTGCTGGCAGGAAATCGAGATGGACGGTCCCTGTCGCATTTCTAACACGTCCCCTTCCATCCTATTTTTAGCACACCTGCCCGGCTGATATCAGCTGTGAATGACTGTTCATTATATTCGTCAAACATGCCTGGACAGCAATCGACTTCTACGCCATGACATGGGACCACCGGCAGTGTCAAGCGCTCTTGAATACGGCAGAGCCACAGAGAGGCTTTGTAGGAAAGAGAATGGGTGTAGTGGAGTGAGGGCGTCTCGTGTTACAATCTACACAATCTCAGTGGTACGACACAAGAGCAAGCTGCTTTGTCAGTGTCCGAGGTCTGAGCTGTTTGTCCCCCGTAGGAATTTCATTACGCTCATCACAATAAAGCTATCTTATCACATTCTGGCTCTTATGAAGAGCGGCCAAGTGTACAGTCATAGAGTCCCGCCGAACGACTGCGAAAGACACAACACATCATTATTCCTTCTGAGCGAGCTGAGGCTCCAGCGGCACTATAAGAAAACCTTCTGCCATTTGTTAGTTTGCATCCTTGGCGAGTTGTCTTTAAAAGTGCAAACTCTCGTTCTTGAAGGGGAAAAACTCTGACTTTAGGTGTCTTGAGAGACTAAAGATGGCAGATTGAGTTCCATTGATATTCTGCAGGCTCTGTGAAGACCAGGGAAGTCGCTCAGGTAGCTGAAAATCTACAGACACAGCCAATCAGCCCAGGTGGCAACCAATGAGAGGCAACTTCCCTGGAGTGTTCCTGCTCAAATTAGGCAACTGAGCCGAACTGAAAGAGAGAGAGAACAAGCCTGACATGGACCGACTGGGCCGTACATGGAAAGCACAAACTACACAGCACAAATGGAAGTGGGGAAAACAAAGTCTCTGGTAAATATTTAACAAACGCCATGCTCCCACTAATTCCCTGCTGGAAGTCTTGGCTGATTGTTTAACAGCCGATTTTCTCTGTACTTCGCAACAGAGCGCTACTGAAAAGTCTGGAGATGCCACTACTTCTGGCTACATTAGGCAGCTCCATAAAGCTAGCAGGACTGAATCTGTCAGATGTGAAATGTTTGTTTAATTCTGCAATATGCACCCTTGAATGAATGAAACCACTGCTACTCAGAGGCGCTGATCCGATGCTCTCAGCATGGCTCCAGCGAATAAGGAGCAGGGTTGTTTCATTTATGTATATTTTGTACATTCTAGCTGAAATTTTCGCTAGTTTTATTTCAATTTCACAACAACATAGCTTAGTACTTGTGAACAATAAAATGTGCCATAAAACAATTGTAACTACTATCATTCCGGCATCTCTGGCACATTTATGATTCAGAGCCATGGACCAAATCCACTCAAATCTTTTGACAGATGGAGAACAAGTCCTGGCTGGTTTTGCTAAAGTTCATAGCTGAGAATTTTTGGAATATAGTCGAGAGATTTGCTTGAGGCCATTTGGATCAACTAAACGAGACTAATTTAATTTGTGTTGTCTTCACAATGTTTCAGAGAGACATTATTTTCAGTAACAACTACTAAATGATTATTGTGGTGTAGTTGATTGCATATTTACACTACTATTCAAAAGTTTGGGGTCGGTACTATATTTTTATGTTTTTGAAAGAAGTCTCTTATGTTCACCAAGGCTGAATTTATTTGATCAAAAATACAGTAAAACAGTAATGTTGTGAAATATTATTACAATTTAAAATAACTGTTTTCTATTTGAATATATTTGAAATATTCCTGTGATGGCAAAGCTGAGTTTCAGTGTCACATGATCCTTCAGAAATCATTCTAATATGCTGACTTGCTGCTCAAGAAACATTACTTATTATCAGTGTTAAAAATAGTTGTGCTGTCCCCCCGCCCCCAGAATCGTTGGAATTGTAATGTATCTGCTTCTATACAAAAAGTGAACTAAACTGAACTGTGATGGTTGTTTACATGACAATCATCGATGCATTTCTGTCTAACTGAGTGACTCTTTAGGCCAGAATGAACCAACTGGGAGATCAGACCATCCAGCATAATATGAAATCTAAAAATTAATTGTCTCTATAAATATACTTCATATTGTAGTTTTAGAGTATTTCTTTAACAAACTTAATTTTTTTATATATTTGAAAGTAGAGTATGGAATTCCGGCCTCTCTTTCACCATCTGGTTGAGACATAAAATTAAAAAGTAAATGCAGATTTGTTATTTTACATTTGTTTTGCATCTTTAATGGACATATTTTTCAGTGCTGATTTTTTTTCTTCAGTTTTTGTTACTAGCATTAACCTTGATGTGTACATCAGCTGGCCATTTCACCCACAGAGGCACAAATGACTCCGCACCTCATCTGCTGTGTTAATGTAATTACAACAATCATACATTAGCCTTCTATAAGATGCTCTTTTATACAATAGCACCATTAAGGCTGCTAATTTATTTCTCACTGTCCTTTTCAGCTTTGAAAGCCATCATTTAAAATCCTCAGCTGTGGAACTGTGCCATTTGCGACAACCAATCATTGTGAGGCTCTGCCAGCATTAATAGAGGAATCAATTAGCTCGCTCGGAAAAACAAAACCAAAAGAAAAATTTTACACATTTATAATTCCACTGTGTTTTGAAATGACGCAATTGAACAGTTTTTACAGAGGTGCAAATAAACCTGCACAAGCTGTTTCAGTGCACTAAGCCATCTCTCATTTGAATACCAAAGGGAATATGCAAAGATTGAAGATGCAGGAGGAACCTGATGAAATTCAGATTTTACATTAAGAAGTGAGAAGTAACTGAAGAGGAAGGAGGGGTGATGAAGAAACAGACAGTGAGAAAGTGGAGATGGTTAAGGACACAAACACAACTAAACATCTAGAGGTGGCCATACTCGTCCTGGTTGGGTGCGGACAGTGCGCTGGAGGAGTCCCTGGAGGGCTTGCCCAGCACATCCTTGGCAAGGCTACTATCTGTGGTCTGGTGGGCTCCTCCCTGTACCTGAGAGTCCTTACTTTGGGGGGGATTGGCCGGCTCAGCCGGGCTCTGGCCATCGGCTTTAGCCAGATCTGCAGGGGTTGAATCAGATGGCTGGAGGGCATCTAAGGACTTTGAGGTCTGGTTGGAGGGCATATCGCTCAGATCCACCAGAGGGGCCACGGCTGCAGGAGCAGCTTGTGGGGAGGTGGGTGAGGTGACGCTAGGTTTGGGGGTGCTGGATTGGGGGGTAGCTTTAGGGGCCGCAGGGGCAGTGCTTGAGGTAAGGGTGGTGCTATCGCTAGCAGGACTGTCAGTGCCGGGGTCTGAGTTAGTGGTTACAGAGGGAAGCAAGTCCACTACTGTTGCTGTGTTGTCAGCAGCGTGCCTGTGAGGACAGCAGGAATAGAGGAGAGACGGGGAGAAGGAGATTCACACAAAGAAAAAGAAGGGGGGGGAGGGAAGGCCAAGGCAAAACATACACAAACATCAGTAAGTCCAACATGCATTTCAAAATAAAACACACCATGTTAGGTAATCACAAAAAAGTGAGGGGTGTGTATGTGTGGGTATCTACACCATTAAACTACAACAGAGAGACTGTTAAACACAAGTAGATGTTAATAACCTGAAGAAAAGACCAGACTTTTGCGTTTTGGACTGTGTGTGTGTTTTTAGGGACTCACTCAGGGTCCGTCAAAGGGGTGGTCTCATTGGGTTCGGTGGGTCCTCCTCCTTCATGGTTTGGTGTGTGTTCCTCCTCAGTCCTTACCTCCACAATGGGCTCTTTAGATTCATCCTTACTGTAAAAGATGACACACCAGAGTTACCCAGAGTTACCAGAATAAAATTTTTTTTCAAATTAGCAGCACTGATTAAAACAGGTTGACGAATATAAATAAATTGGTCTCGCACCATATGGTGTACTTTTCTGACAAAGTATGGTGTGTTTATATTTATAATTTAATTCAATCTGCCATCTTTATAATTGATAAAGAACTGACAAAAATATTGTACAACTACTGTACAATACAGTAAAACTACTGTCAAATCAAATAAAAAATATTTTAGTATTTTTGCATGACAAAATATAAATATATTTAGAATACACTGTTGTCAGACATATATGACAATATTGTGCTATAAATAACTATTTATGATAATCAAAAACTATATTGTTGAGCCCTTCAGTGCAATAACATGACATCAAAATTGGGATATAATAACTTTCTAGTTAAAAAGGTTTTCTTTGCATAGCATTTCAAAGGCTACATTTTGCAACCAGGCAGCCTTTTCATTCCTAACCAGCATGCACCTCTCCTCCTCTCTTCTTATCTCAACACTGCCGCCATGTGCCAATATTCACAACATTCTCATTCATGGAGTCAGATATGCCACAATCAGCCCTGCCTCAAGCCCTCCTGTAGAGCTGATGGGAGCGATAATGATGGGAGAGCAATGATGGATGGCGTTATCGGACAAGGGAACACACACGGATGAGAGGGAAAGGAAAAGACTGGCTCACGTGAAAGCGGCTTTTCCCTCCTCGATATCCTTCCCTTTGGCAGAGGGCCCAGACTTGCCGCAAAAGTTGACGGCGATGCACATGAGGAGGCCGCACTTGTTGAGGAAGTAACATGTGACGTCCACGCCGAAGAGGAGCAGGATGAAGACCTGAGAGTCCTTACTTTGGGGGGGATTGGCCGGCTCAGCCGGGCTCTGGCCATCGGCTTTAGCCAGATCTGCAGGGGTTGAATCAGATGGCTGGAGGGCATCTAAGGACTTTGAGGTCTGGTTGGAGGGCATATCGCTCAGATCCACCAGAGGGGCCACAGCTGCAGGAGCAGCTTGTGGGGAGGTGGGTGAGGTGACGCTAGGTTTGGGGGTGCTGGATTGGGGGGTAGCTTTAGGGGCCGCAGGGGCAGTGCTTGAGGTAAGGGTGGTGCTATCGCTAGCAGGACTGTCAGTGCCGGGGTCTGAGTTAGTGGTTACAGAGGGAAGCAAGTCCACTACTGTTGCTGTGTTGTCAGCAGCGTGCCTGTGAGGACAGCAGGAATAGAGGAGAGACGGGGAGAAGGAGATTCACACAAAGAAAAAGAAGGGGGGGAGGGAAGGCCAAGGCAAAACATACACAAACATCAGTAAGTCCAACATGCATTTCAAAATAAAACACACCATGTTAGGTAATCACAAAAAAGTGAGGGGTGTGTATGTGTGGGTATCTACACCATTAAACTACAACAGAGAGACTGTTAAACACAAGTAGATGTTAATAACCTGAAGAAAAGACCAGACTTTTGCGTTTTGGACTGTGTGTGTGTTTTTAGGGACTCACTCAGGGTCCGTCAAAGGGGTGGTCTCATTGGGTTCGGTGGGTCCTCCTCCTTCATGGTTTGGTGTGTGTTCCTCCTCAGTCCTTACCTCCACAATGGGCTCTTTAGATTCATCCTTACTGTAAAAGATGACACACCAGAGTTACCCAGAGTTACCAGAGTAAAAAATTTGTTCAAATTAGCAGCACTGATTAAAACAGGTTGACGAATATAAATAAATTGGTCTTGCACCATATGGTGTACTTTTCTGACAAAGTATGGTGTGTTTATATTTATAATTTAATTCAATCTGCCATCTTTATAATTGATAAAGAACTGACAAAAATATTGTACAACTACTGTACAATACAGTAAAACTACTGTCAAATCAAATAAAAAATATTTTAGTATTTTTGCATGACAAAATATAAATATATTTAGAATACACTGTTGTCAGACATATATGACAATATTGTGCTATAAATAACTATTTATGATAATCAAAAACTATATTGTTGAGCCCTTCAGTGCAATAACATGACATAAAAATTGGGATATAATAACTTTCTAGTTAAAAAGGTTTTCTTTGCATAGCATTTCAAAGGCTACATTTTGCAACCAGGCAGCCTTTTCATTCCTAACCAGCATGCACCTCTCCTCCTCTCCTCTTATCTCAACACTGCCGCCATGTGCCAATATTCACAACATTCTCATTCATGGAGTCAGATATGCCACAATCAGCCCTGCCTCAAGCCCTCCTGTAGAGCTGATGGGAGCGATAATGATGGGAGAGCAATGATGGATGGCGTTATCGGACAAGGGAACACACACGGATGAGAGGGAAAGGAAAAGACTGGCTCACGTGAAAGCGGCTTTTCCCTCCTCGATATCCTTCCCTTTGGCAGAGGGCCCAGACTTGCCGCAAAAGTTGACGGCGATGCACATGAGGAGGCCGCACTTGTTGAGGAAGTAACATGTGACGTCCACGCCAAAGAGGAGCAGGATGAAGACCACAATGAGGATGCCCACGATAGCCCCGGTGCCCAACCCTGAGCTGGTTTCTTTGGGAAAGAGGAAAAGTCAAAAAAGAAAAAAAGATTTTATCACAGACCATGCCTTAAAGTGGCTTTTCCACAGTGATCTATGCAATCTAGAATAAAAAATGTGAGGAGGCCGCACTTGTTGAGGAAGTAACATGTGACGTCCACGCCGAAGAGGAGCAGGATGAAGACCACAATGAGGATGCCCACGATAGCCCCGGTGCCCAACCCTGAGCTGGTTTCTTTGGGAAGGAGGAAAAGTCAAAAAAGAAAAAAAGATTTTATCACAGACCATGCCTTAAAGTGGCTTTTCCACAGTGATCTATGCAATCTAGAATAAAAAATTTAATTTCCATATAGTCTATTTTGTATGTTGTACTAATTTGAAGTGAGCTGAAAGGATTGGTTTGTTGAAGGCAGTTAGGACTAAAGCCAACACACTCATAGAAACACATAAGGGTGAATTCATTAAACAGTTGTACTTTTACATACTCTAAAAACCTGTGGCTTTTTCCACAGTAACGTCAAGCCGGTTAACATAATTTTGTTTGTGTACATTTTCTATTAATCATGGCAGCAGTAATTCATCAAATGATAATCTAGCAATGGAGAAGAGCATTATAACTAGGCGTACGTCCAAATGTGTGGTGCAGATGAGTCCATTTGACACATTTTAAAGAGGTGCATGGATCACAGTGTTAAAACCATGCTGCATAGTTGCAGTAAAGTATGCCAGATCATGCTTGTCTGATATATCCTTCACAACCTAGCAGGACCAGGAAATGTGCAGTGCAAATAGCATAGATTTTGTTACCTGATTAGCATAATTCCTTAATGCAATCTCTAATTACTAAAACAGCAAACATGTGCAAATAAACAGTACTATCAGTTCATTCTTAATGAATTCACCCCCATAATATTTAGGTTCTCCACACAGACTGCCAAAGCGGGATACATTTCATGTGTTATCGACACACAGTATATAACATAACATCACATACAGCGTCATTCTGAAGCAGGGCATTCATCACTCACATGGAAATGAACCCAGCATGCTTATTCAGAGACATAATTAACTCTCTTTGTACAGAACTTCAGAACGTTAACTACAAGGCTTGTTCTGTTCATATTCAAGCACATATTTCAACAGAGAAACTCCACTGGCATGGAACGGTGAAGATAATCTCAATACTCAGCTCTTAGTGCATTCACTTATGGGTTAACTCCTGCATAAACACACACAAACAACACACAAACGTAAGCCATACTGATGAAAATAAAAGAAAACACCATGTTAAAGGAACAAGGATTAAATGAGATGGAGAAACACAAGCAGAACTGTGTTTTCAGCTCTTGAAAACACAGACTACTTACCAGGAATGACAAGCTACACCATGAAAATGCTAAATAACTACAGGATCTACTGAGACGGACATATATGGTCTGGATCAGTAAACGCAACGCACAATGAAAATGTGGTTGTATGGATCTTAATGCTGCATCGGTAAACATGGCAATTCATATGAACTCAATTCATATCAATCTATGCTGAAATATTTGATTCAAATGCGGGAAGATGACTCAGTTTTTCAAGTGGTCATTATAAAAGTTAAACCAAGTGCTTTTGGACTAACAAAGGGAGATCTGATGAGGCTAAAAGTAAATACAACCTATTTTGGACAAATTATGATTTAAAGTTCAATAAAATAATAAAATAAAATAAATGTGTTTATAAATAAACAGTTGAGACAGGTAAAAAGCTAATACCTATCATAAAGCAGTTGCTCTGTAATAGGTTGTTTTATGCTTAAAACATCTTCATTGTAAGCAAATTCACTTTCTTCTATATATACAGAGTACTGAGACACAATTTTTACCTGACACAGGACACATGATATAATATGGTGGCTGCAAAAAAATGTAGCAAACATAGTTTATTGTTAGCCCAACACTATAATGGCACTCCATTCAAGTATTCTTATGAGTATACAGCCATAGATTATACTGTGAATTAAGATGAACATTTGCAATTAGGCTTATATCGAGTTCTAGGCACCTTTGCATTAAGTGTCTCTAATGAAACGTCCTTCTAAATCATTGATGGAGCCACATAAAGACCTAAAACACATCTACACGTATCAAGGAGATCATGAATTATGGATGCACTCAACTGAGATCTGGAGGAAAAATGCATTATACAAAACTTCAGCTCCACTTGATTCATACTGCTCTCAGAACACTGTGCTCAAAACTTGCAATAGATCTACAATAAACCAAAACGTATTATGAACTTAAACCAAGAAACCTGTATGATAGGTAATCTGGTGCTGTGGATGAAATCTAGCCATTGTAGCAGTCAACAAACTCCACGGATGTGTATAAGAGGCTGGGCAACAGGAGGTAGAGCTGACAGAATTAATCTACCGGCCAGCCAGGAGAGGGCCAAGAGCGCTTCTCCTAGATCGGGGTGCGGAGTGGGTCGCACTTGTTTTCCCGAGCTTCAGCCTGCATTTTAACAAGTGCGATAAATCACGGCACACATCTGAGCACAAAGGCTGTCTCACTGAGGTCCTTCACCGGCCAAAAACACCCAGCTCTGCTGACTCAGCAGCGTGCTTGAAAGGTCTTCAAGACACTCGAGACGTCTCCGCATATTACAAACCTTATCATGTTCTGAATAATGAACATTGGTGTGAAAAAAACTCACAATGTGGTGCATGTTATATGAGTGTTGGGTTGAATCAATGCAGTCCGGAATACCTGGACAGAGTTAGCCGTTAGCATTCCCATGGCACATGCACCTGGAAGTACATGTATGCTGCAATCTTTGCTCATGGACACTCAGTTCTGGACACATTTTTTGAAGTCAATTACTTGAGCTGTAAATGTCATGTGACTTTTAACATCATATATCTATATATATATATAGAGAGAGAGAGAGAGAGAGTTCTGCAGTCGTGATGTCAAAACTCGGAAGACTAATTTGACGTGTTCTCTCGAGAATGGGTTTTTTTCAATGGGGTTTTTCAATTTATGAGTAAAACAAGGTCTGTGGTAAATGTAAATTGACAATACTGATTTTTATTATTATTATTATTTTTTAATTATGTTGTACAACAAAACATCCAAGTATGTCAAGTTACGTTTACCATAAGAAAAACCCTTGGCAAATTAGTCTGCTGAGTTTTGACATCACGGCTGCAGCACTCTATATAATAAAGAAGTACAAGTAAATTAATTTGTGGTTAATTTTGCATAGCCATCAATGGGGAAAAAAAACAGGCTTTGCGTGCTCGGAATGTAGTTACAGCAGGGGCTAGCTGCTAGCTAATGCTAACTAGCCAAACTTTAACCTCCTGTGTTGAATATTACATATAAACGTATTAAATAAAGCTACTGCAGGATCATCATCGAACTGCAGAATTTGTGAAAATCTACAACAGATCAACAGAATACTGTTTTAATTGCTCTTGAGGCATCTGCTGAATGTGACTTTTCGCTAACAGCCCATTTTAACTTTCTCTGCACGGTCATTACAAATGTTCAGTCTGTTCTGAGGACTCTCAGATTATTCAGACACCTCCACACTTGGCACTTGCCTCCGTCTCCAGTCACTCTCAGTGATAAGTGCAAACAAGCGGCACTTCTGCCGATGCCAAGTTTGGATTCTCAAGTCATTTTGCCTCTGGTTTTGCTAGTCTGAATGAAGCCGATGATCCATCCGGAGTGGCATTAAACATCCCAGACGAGCCAAACGGGGTGCTGCTTTTCTGATGAAATGTCACCTAGCACCAACACACAATGATTAAGGACAGAGACGCACCTGCATATGAATGATGAGCATGATAAACTGATTGGCACATGCGTTTCCAGGAGTCAAACCTCCAGGTCTCATCACTTTATTACCATGAGAATCCATTCCAAACTGGGAAACAAATGCTACTCCATTTGATTGAACAAACGACCCCCATTCCCTCCCCCATTTATTTCCATAACCCTGCCAAATATATGAGGTTTTATACTGTAAGACACTTAATTACATTAGTTGCACTTTACTTGACACTCTCCCAGGAAATGCCTGCATAGGTCTTGAATAATAATGATACTCGCATTTCCACTCTCGATGGCATACAGCAGCCTTGGACATGTAAACTGACCACCATCTTCTTTAATACGGACAGCTGGCTGGAGGTCAATCGACACCCATACCTGTATCTGTCCATCGCTAATGTTCAAAATTGATTTATACGGTTACAACGGAGGCGGTGCCATGCACACAAGAACGCTTGTGGGTTTCGCACTAAAATTCAGTCTGGGGGGTGTTTATGTTAAATCCTGTCTAAGCAAGAAAAAACAGCCTTAAGGAATTTAGCAGTTCAGAGTAGAGATGGTCAATCAGAAGTACTGCAGAACACTCCTGCCCTTTGAAAGTAAAAAGCTCCATGGGTCCCTCCGAACCGACATTGTGCACCATGTCATCATGGGACAAGCATGAAACGGTCACACATTATGGTCCCATGCAACTCGCTGTCACAAGATTTTGACTCAAATCCATGTTGTGTTCGTTAAAAACTCAAAATAAACAAAACAATCTATCTAGCTTACCGTATTTTCTTAAAACCTACAACGATTACTGCATGACAACATACTGGTATGTGTGTACAAAAAATGTATTACAGAACATAATTAAATTACACTGTTGAAAATGACACTTTTGACGTGAATGATTTTAACAGCAGTAGCATTAGTTTTGAATGGTCTTTTCAAGTAAGAAGCAGAGAAAAGAAAATGTAAATAAAAGTCCATTACAAGAAAGTATCTATTTTCTGAATCGTCTAAAATTATGTACAGTTTGTCACAAAAAACACGTTTTCCATGTCAACACACAAACTTGGTGCCTATTCCTAAAAAAAATACCCTTCCAAATTAGTTAATATCTTAATAATAATAACAACAACAAAAGAATAAGAAACTTAAAATTAATGAAGGTAATGAAAATAAGGACTTTATCTCCTAAATGAGCCCTAGAATAATTATATCGAGATTAATATCAAGAGACTAGGCTTCTTGATAGGGAAAGATTTTCTACAACACTCCCAAAAAGTCCATGATGTGAAAAAAAACCTTTTCAAACACTCTGACATTGCCTTGCTTAAACATAAAATTAATAAGAAACTTAAAAAGACAAAAAAACAGAATGATACAAGCACCGAACACTTTACTTAATTCCAATACATGTAACTGATATTCTTTTTTGTTTGTTTGTATGTTTAGCCTGCGAGAGGATCAGAAAGGCGTAGAAAACTGAAGGGTGTGGTTGAAGAGTGGACGGGACTCCTCTCCTCTGGCGAGCCCCAGTTTATGAGAGCACTAGCACAGTCAGCATGGAGAACATGAGAGTGACGAGAGCATACGTCACAGAGGAGCAGCCAAGGGTTGCTGAGACCACACATCCCACACCACCACACCAAAAAAAGACACCCGAAGACCACAGGGACAGTGCACAGGAGGGAAAAAAATTGGCAAAAATGGGGGGAAAAAACAACGTTTTGAGTGCGTATTTGAAAATGCGATGATCCGGTGATGTCCGATTTTACACATGGAGACAGAAAAAGGGAAAGAGGGAGGGAAGGAAGGAAAAAACAGGGAAAGAAATTGGGAGAGAGGGAGAGAGAAAAAAGAGAGAGACAGAGAATAGGTCAAATACAGAAAATTAAGTTTAAAAGGTTAATCAAGAAAAGAATATCAAAGGAAAGTTCCAGCCAGTTAAAAGCACAGCAATGACAGCAAATCGAGAATGAAAGGACAACGATAGTCAAATGATGGGAAACATGGAATGATAAGGGACACCAAGACACGTACAATCAAGAAACACAGATCAGGCAACTGTCCTGGTATTTGACATTGCATATATACTTTACAGCCAATTTTGATAAATCTTACAGATCCTCTCTTTCTTTAAAGGTGAAGTGTGCAATTTCCGCTCTACTAGCCTCTCAAAACTGTATTGCAACATTAATAACAAAAAGAGTAATTGGACTGCAATTGCTCTGTCAAATAGATAGTCCCATCCCAAACCCAGTGGTCATTAATAGCACCACAGAGACAGTGTTTACACTTTTTGGAGGAATTCATCTACAAATGGCTTATTTATAATGGTCTCTAATGCACAGATAGTGAAGGTATTTTAAAATGAAACATTATAACATAAAAAGCACACTTCAGCTTTAAACAAGTGCTGCCAGAAATTTGCATTTAAATTAATTATAATGAATTCAAATCAAGAAAAACATTCTACAGGAAATTCGGAAAAACAGGCTTTCATCTTTCTATGTCGCAAACACCAGGGAAATGTTGCCCAGTCAGAAGACAAGGCGAAACAAACAGGTTATGATGCAATACAGTGTAATAAAGTGCTGAAATTAGTTTTCTGATCTTATTTAAATGGCACAAACGTTAATGGGCGTTGTATTAGAACAGCTTTTACTCCTTGTCAACTGTAGCCTGGGAGATTTGGATTACATGAAGTAGAGCTTTAGCATTTGTCGTGTGGCCAATGTTGAGCTCAACCCATTACCCGTACCATGCACGAAAATCCACTGGCTCCCTATTTTAATTCCTGCCAAACTCTCGACATGCTGACCATCTGCAAAGTGAAGGAATGTGTCATGTGATAATAATAGTGTCCAGACAGTTTTAAGGGTTTCTGACCTGTCTCCTGCAAGCTGGTCTGATTATAAGACTCTAGAGAAGCGTGAATCGCTGTCTGAGCAGCTGTTTTTGGACCATCGTTTCTAACAGCAGCTGCTCCAGCTGATGCAATGCAGATGTTAGGCTAAAAATAAAGCCGCTTTTTTGAACTCCCATATGTTACACATTGAGGTTAACAACTCTGCAATGTGTAAGTGTGGCGAGATGAGAAAAGAGACAAAGGAAGGCTTTTCTATCCATCCGAACCTGTCTTGCACAAGTGCTCCGAGATCCAAAGCTCCCACTGCTATATGGATGCTTCTCACTAAGCGGATGAGAAAAAGCAGGTCTCTTGGCCATGCACCGACAGATGCCTGTTAGGTCCTCAGTAAAGCATTAAACCATTAATCCTGTTGAGGCGTCATCATGCAAAACCAGAGGATGCATCCCCACTGAGAACAAGCAGATAGTCAGCCCAATTCAATTGGTCTGCCACAATGAGCCTGAACTGAGCCTCAGTTCAGCCTCCAGAAAGAGACCGAAGGATGATCTAAGGCCCAATTTTTATCAGCGGGGAAGCAGCTCGCAAGAAAACAAAAACACAGCACTGCCAATGGAGCACAGACCAAACGAGCCCGTGGTGGAGGGGGTGGATGGTTTAACGGGCCTGCTGTGGCTTTTTGCCTCCCGAGTGCCAAATAGAAAATCTCATCTTCTCTGATATCATCTACAATCGCTCCGAGATGAGCAATAAAGCCGGCTGCAAGAGTCAGGTGGAGCTTGATGGAGGGGTCAGGGCTCTGGAGAGGAGCTAAAGGTCTCCAGACTTCACCCGTGGCCACCTCTCACAGACATTTATCACTCTGCACTCTTATTACTCTTAGATTGTGTCAAATCACTCTCTAGAGGAGGCCAGGCCACAACCTGAATTGACATAAGGGTGGCCTGTGCAATCCACAACAAGACCTGCTAGTAGGATGGGGTTAACAGGGGTTGCGTTGAGGCAGTCGGACTGTTGGCCGCTCAGGCTGGCAGTGGCTGTGCTTCAGGGTTAGGGGGTGGGCCATACCTGGGATGGCGGTGGGTTCTGGCAAGGTTCTGAAGGAGAGTGTGCCGGGTTCAGATCGCCCTCGCTGGTTTTCGGCAATGACGGAGACCTCGTATTCCGTGTTCCATTCCAGACCTCGCAGAACAACGTACTCGCTGCCGTTGGGCAGGCGGATCTCCGGCTTCCAGTCCTGGCGATTCTTCTACGGACACATGTGGACACACTTTAAACTTTAAGAATGGTATATAAGGGTCAATGACACAATTTTTTGTATTCTAATTTCTTCAAAAATACATAAAAACGCAACTCACACATACATTGAATTTAAATACACCTCTTCTATGATGATTATGTTTTCATTTTCGAAATTAAAATAGAATTAGATTTAATAATAAAAAATATATT